CTTCCTGCCCAATCCCAGTACTGCACAAACTGAGGGAAGTAACCTTTACACACAAAGAGAGGGACTTCTGTCCCCAAAGCACAATGCCCCAATGTCCAGCTTCTCAATCATTCTTTCAAAAGATTCAAAGTGCATTGGTTAAAACAGAGGCAACTTTCAGGGTACATGAGTGGTTCAGAAAGGGACACATGCTGGGCTTCTGGCACCACTGCACCATCAAGCTGACTGTCCCCTGCTGAACCACTAAGGAGTGGGATCCAGAATGCCTCAGGGAGTAGGTGTAAGGAGAAAAGGAGAGAGATGGTGTTAAGAAGAGGTCTGTACAATGAAATTCCCCAGAGAACATAGGTGAGAGGGAGGCCCCGGTACCACCCAGGAGTAACCCCTGTGCCCGGGCACCCCAGGTCCAGAGTCCATGGAGTTTATCTTCACAGTGTACTTTGGGCACTCGTTATCCAACCTGCCCTTTGTACCACAGGCCACAAGTCCACTCAGGAGTGCTGATATAGGCAACACTTCACCGGATGTTGGTCCTGCTGACAGGTTGGGGTTTGGATCTTGCGCTCCTGGTATCAGGACCACAGTTATGAATAATTCCCAGTCCTGTCCATGGAAGCTGGGGATATCCAAGATAAGAACATTGATGCCTTGTAAGGTTAGTGATTGGAGCATGCAACCTTTTCCGTGAGACTTCTGGTCTTCAGCTTATCCCTGCCCTCTTCCTACTTAGGAAAGTCTGCATTGGGTAACAGGTAGCACTTCCTGTGGAGTCTGCAATGTTGAGCACAGGATGCAGGTCAGGCATGGGTCTTGCACACATCCTGCATCGGCCAGGGGGATGGGCTGGCTGAGAAATGAAAGCTAAGAAATAGTTCCATGAAATAACCACAGAACACAGAAATATAGTTTCAGAGTGAGGGCAGCAACGGACCAGCTGACCAGACGGGTGCAGCTTCTAACAAAGATGGAACCCATGCTTGTTTTATTTATAGGGGTACAGGTCAAAGGGGATTGGTAGGTATAAAGTCTCCGTGTGGGAGGAGTCTTGTCTCGGTGCTTGCTTCTTCATGAAAAACAGGATATATGTGCAGGTAGGCAGGCTGTTTGGCTGTTAACGGGTCACGCCCATGTCTGGTGTTTTGCAGGACCTTTTGGCAGAGCTGGGTAGGAGTTCACATGTATCGGGTCATCTCACCAGCAGGAGTGCTGCTGTGTGTTCCCAGATACCAGATCTTCCCATTCAATGGCTTCAGTGCCCATCTGTTCTATGCACATTTTGCGGGTGGCTTCCTACACATGGGGACATCATCTTTCACGAAGCCATATCCTTGTAGGCAAGTTCTGATCAAGCTAGTAGATAAGTTTTCTTAAAATTACCAACAAGCAACTGAATGTACCTTAAAACTTAAGTCAAAAAGGAATAGACTTAAAAGCCCACTAATGTCACTACTAAGGGATACAAGACAAAACACACAGTGATGATCTGGGGTTGAAGGTGCGGATTGGCTGGGCCACAGCATGAAGGAGTGAGAGTCCCAC